TGTGTGTTTGTGTGGCAGGGGTCGCATTCGGCAGCTGTCTAGAGGGACAGGATGTTGTCGCGCGCGCGGCGGGGGGTGTGCGAAATCGTGGCAGGCGCAGCACTTTGGCGATGCCGTTGCGAAATCGTGGCAGGCGCAGCACTTTGGCGATGCCGTTGCCGAAGTCGTGGCAGGCGCAGCATTCTGTGCATCTGGGTGTGTGTTTGTGTGGCAGGGGTCGCATTCGGCAGCTGTCTAGAGGGACAGGATGTTGTCGCGCGCGCGGCGGGGGGCGTGCGAAATCGTGGCAGGCGCAGCACTTTGGCGATGCCGTTGCGAAATCGTGGCAGGCGCAGCACTTTGGCGATGCCGTTGCCGAAGTCGTGGCAGGCGCAGCATTCTGTGCATCTGGGTGTGTGTTTGTGTGGCAGGGGTCGCATTCGGCAGCTGTCTAGAGGGACAGGATGTTGTCGCGCGCGCGGCGGGGGGTGTGCGAAATCGTGGCAGGCGCAGCACTTTGGCGATGCCGTTGCGAAATCGTGGCAGGCGCAGCACTTTGGCGATGCCGTTGCCGAAGTCGTGGCAGGCGCTGCATCTGTGCAATCGCATCCATACAAGGGGCGCACGGTACATGTGTGTGGACATTTGAACTCACATCCTTGGGAAAAACATAGCATGTGGGGTTATCCGGTCCTTTAATTTTCTGATGCTAAGGATGGTTTGAATTGTTTGTGGTTTTTTGTTTGTTTTGTTTTTGCCCGATGTGGGTGTGGCTCAAACTTGAGCCGGGGTTACTTCAAGGTGCGATCGGGTATTTAGTAGGTGGTGAGAGTATGCCTGGTGAGTTATAACCCACTGAACGGAGACGAATAGCAGGCTTACTGACCACTTAATATGTACCCTGCCCCTTTAAGTACGCAGGTTTTCGCCTTTGGTTCTACTTTACCATGCAAGGTGCCATTTTGGTACATGTTTTTGAGCCACAGCCACTGGCCGAGTGGGTCGTGGGATGTTCGGACACGGGCGGGGGGTTCGGTGCTTGAACATTTGTTGGAAGCCAGTTTTACACCCGGGGGTGCCACAGACGCTTCCCAATTGAGAAGACAACAGGACGAGTCGCAGACCTTGCCCGTCGCTTCGGCTTGCCTGACCGCGACGCGCCCAAGCCGAATCTCTCCCGGCTGAGGTGATTTGGTCCTGAAGCTCTCCTTCGGCATCCCAAGAGCCGGGCTCCTGCCCAAGTTCTTCCGCTTCATCACACGTGTCACCGGGAAGTGCCAGAAGGCCTCCCGGATATCGATGCGATCGATGCGATGCGACGCAGAATACGTCAGGCACGTGGTTTTGGTAAGCGTGGTGGGTTATCACCCACTGAACGGAGACTGAAAAGTACATGACGCTTTTGTGGGTTACAATGCTTACAAACCACTTACCTGACGTACCGAACCGATCGCCCCTTTAAGAACGCATCAGACGTTTCAGCCATTGCAAGCGATGGGAATCAATACCATATGGAACTATCCACGACTTGTTATCCCTTCAAATATTCATCTCCACCGCTGGTCAGATCTCAGGGAGTCCAAGGTGGCTGATAACAAGGGGTTCCTCCATCTAACAAGGGGTTTCAAGGGAAACCACCAGTAATTGATCAACTTTTGACGGGGGACATCCAGTGACCCCTGTGATAGCATTCCAGAATCCTCAAGGTCACAAGATGTTCAATGAGTACGACTATGGTTTCAGGTGGACATGAGGCCCCCCCACAGCGCAGCTTTCCGGTGACTCATGGAAAAGCATCAAACATTTCAAGTTTGTTGGGAGGGGGGTAGGTTTCTTTTGCTCCAAAAAGCCCAAGGGAACTGGGAGAGGCACGGAATCTGTGCCCCTTCCAAGCCGATCGCCTCAGGAGTCCTGGTTTATGACATCCATTCAGTGAAACCCATTTATTTCTAGCCAAAGGCCACCGCCTCAGGTTTGGGAAACCACTCCCCAAGCCCATGGGAAGCCCATTGCTTTGAAAGCCGGACACTCCTCGAGAAAGCCGTCTCTTCTCATGGAAAGTCCGACTCATGGAAAAGGATCCATTTGCCAGTGAAACCCAAAAGGCCGATCATCGCCTCAGGAGTCCTTGGTCTTCTTCGAGATGAAGTCCAGAGCTCGGCAAGCGGACCACGCCTTGGAGCAGCTGCGAACTCGGCACCGCCTGGCGCAGGAGGCCAACAGCGCGCCAGCGCCTCGTTGCTCAAAACGGCGATCCGCAAACAGATTTGAGCCACGACCTCAAAACCCGGGTAGATGAAGGTGAGTAAAGGATTCCTTTTGATATTATAATCTTGGTGGCTCCCAGCCATCCGGTTCCTTAGCTTTTTAGCCTTTTGGTGTTTAGTGGTAGTTTCCATTTAACCCACTAAAAGTTAGTCACTTTTAGTGGGGGATCTAAAAACGGGCAGCCCAGGAATACCAGGTGATTATTCTGACACTCAGGAGGGCTCCGGCCCCGCCATAGTTTTCTCACTTCGTATCCCGTTGCGGTTCAACCAGCCCAACGGCACCATAATAATAATAAAGACAACTCAGTGGCTCCCTGTCTCGCACCATTCACACATATTCACCCACTCCAGTCGAGTCCATGAACATTCAGGCAACCCTTAACTGGTGGTTTGGAGTATGTCGGATTGGTGGCTTGGATTCGGATTTGAACTTTGAACCCCTGGTTCTAGGCGGAGTTCTGCCAGAGAACTGGCTGTGGGTCAAAACAAGTGGTACCATTTTGGGGCAGGAACACCACCCATTTTGGTCTGTAGTGGGGATTGGGATGTTCACTGGGGGTACGATTTGGGTTTTGAGGTTTTTCCTCATGGAAACGCCGGGTTCATCCCAAACAAAAGGAGGGCTTGTGGGATTTCTACAAGTTGGAACTGACTCAACCACTTCCATTTTGGTCGAGAATTTAGTGGGGATTGGGATGTTCACTGGGGGTACGATTCGGCTTTTGACCCATAGCCAGATGGTCTTGCTTTATGGAAACGCCGGGTTCATCCCCAAACAAAAGGAGGGCTTGTGGGATTTCTACAAGTTGGAACCGACTCAACCACTTCCATGTGCTGAAATGCGTATCGTTTTGTTCACTGGGGGTACGATTTGGCTTTTGACCCATACCATTTTGTGGTAGGAGCACCACCCATTTTGGTCGATTTTCCCATGGCATGTCGTAGGAGGCGGGGTTGCAGCTGGTGGCTCTCGTGGCGCTCGCGAAGAGCGACATCGAGGGCCGGCGCACGCTGCAGCGCCTGGCCGAGCGCGCGCTTGCGGAGGACGGGGCGCTGGTGGTGGCGGTGGATCCGGAGGACTGGTCGAAGGAGGCGAAGGAGAGGAGGGCCAGGCGGATTCCCAAAGTGCCCAGAGGCGCGATGGGATTGCGGGTTGGAAAGGCAATTGAGTGGAGGAGAGATGGATGTGAGGCGTGAAGGTCTGATCTTTTGGGAGGACAACTTTGAAGATCCCAGCTGTTTTTGTCTTCTTTTTTGCTTTCCCCAAAATCCATAAAGAACCTCCGGCTCCCAGCTCCCATCCAGGGAACAGTTTTTTCAACAACGACTACTACGAGCGGAAGCTGGAGACTGAGGACCGGCAGGTCTACGAGGGCTGCTACTTGGGTGTCGTGCAGATCTACAAGGCGCGGCCAAATCCCCGGTGTGCCGGCGGAAGCCGAAGGGACGCTGGAGTCGCGGAGGTGGTCAAGACCAATAACTCACTGTTCTTGGCAAGTTGTTGGTTTTTTGGGTTGTGATCGTTTTTGGTAGGGGGCTGCAAACAAAGTTCTTGCAACAATACCCAGGGTTCTGCAGAATAGCTTGGTTCGGATGGTTTTTATTCACAGCCAGGGGAGCCTTCCGGAGGCGGCAAAGGGAGCTGGATGTGGACTTAAGCCCATGGGGGACATGAACAGCATCCCGTCAATTTCTGTAGAAAGGTACAACAACACTTTGGCCGAAGGGAAGTGCACCGAGCAGATCAAGATAGATGAGGGAAGTGCATTAAACCGTCGTGCGTCGTGTTCATGTTCTTTGCGCAATCATGCCAGGAAAATGACCAGTGCCACGAAAAAGTGCATGGTCTTGGCATGACATTTTGAGGATACAAATTGCAAATGTTTACCACTGCTTACCAATTGCAAGTGTTGACCACTTCTCCTTCAGAACCCAAAACCGAAAAGATGGCAAGATCCTGAAAGACCCATCACTCGTGGTGTTCCCCTTGTCTGGTCTCGTAGCTCTTCACCGTGTTCACCTCCCATCCACCCGAAGATTGATGGCGTCTCACGTCACTGCGATCGCCTTCAGGAGCAGCAGGCCTTCGGCTACTTGTGTCCCAAGGAGCCGCAGCAATTGCCCCAAGACGTGCAGCGCGCGGTGCGCGAGAACAAGGGCCAGGCCTTGTACTTCCGAGGCACCGATTCCCAGTTGCCCAGTGAGGTGCCTTTTTGTTGTTCTTTTTTTTGGGGAAGTTGCCCAGTGGTGCCTTTTTTTTTGGGGGGGGGGGGAAGGGTTTCCCTTTAAGATCAACCAACCAACAAAGGATGCAACAAAGGATGCCCTTTTTTTTCCCTCTGGCCACTGGGCATCTGAGGATTTGAGGGATGGAGCTCGGTGCCTTCGCAGAGGCTCCGAGGTGGAGTTTCAAGTGTACAAAGACAACCACAGTGCGGGGGCCTGCAACATCAGCATTGTCTTCACTGGCTGGTCGTGAAAAAAGACGCCATCGCTATTGTCTCAGGGCCACCTTGCTTTCCCCAAAGGGACATACCCTATAGCGGTTATTAAAATATACTGGGTACATACCCCAAAATCAATCCCTACATAAGACTTGGGGTGAGGTATCTTTGGGGTATGTAAGTTGGCCCGTAGATATTCAGCAAGCGACGCGTTCTGAGCCCTATATATGTAGCCAAAAAACCCAACTCGTGAAGACGTCCGGCCCAAAACAGGGAGACCCTTTCGACCAGCAGCTTGGTACGTGAGGAGTCGATCCATGCCATCAAGACGGAGTTCAACCAGAGGGCTCGGACCTCGGACCGTGATGCGCCAGCCGGCCATGGCAATGGAGACGTATCACTTCCAGCTGAAATGAGTACATATGTTTGTCCTGTTGGTTTCAAAGGGAATCAGTTTCACTCTTGGACATATTGTCATTTTTCATTTTTTTTTCAGTGGCGAAAAAGCAAATGGAAGATTAGAAAGCGCTGGTTGCCTTCTAAGCAAAAACTGTTCAGTCCAACCTCCCAGAACGCCAAATCAGGAACATGCAGGAAGCTACTCCTCAGGTTTTTCCCAGGTTTCCATTTTCCGCAGGTTGCTACCAGGTTTGTTTGCAAGATTCTTCCAGTGATCTAGGGAGCTGGATTCCCTATTATTTTCAACCACGCTTTTGAAAACAGCCTTGATTCCGCCTGATCGTCAACCATGCTTGTTTAACATCAGGTGTGTTTTCCTGACTTTCGTGTTTTGTTCGTTCCAGAAAGGAGTTTTAGGAACAGGTGACGGTTTCCCTGGTTCAAACCCGTCCTTTCTCCTGAGTCTGGGTTTTCCGTTCACTTTTTCCTTGCCGGTGCGATTGGCAGGGAAGGAGAAATGGAATGACCCCTTTTGAGCCATGCCCTATGGTTTCCTTTAAAAAGGAGTCCCAAAACGGTTCATTCCATTTGGCTGTGGGTCAAAACCGTTTTGGGATCCCATGCGGTAGGTGAATTCACCACCCATTTGAGGCTTTCTTGTGGTTGGATTGAATCGGATGTTCACTGGTACTTTTTTTGTTTTGACCCATGGCCATGTGGGTGGCTCGTTCTTTTTTTGGGCGACCCCCAAAGTGGCTTCGGTCTTTTTGGTTTCAGGGTACCCATATGACAACAAACAGCAAAGTAACAAATGGCCATGGGTCGCAATCAATGCCTCCATTTTGGGGCGGATGAACACCCATGTGCCACCTTTGATGTTCATGAGGTTTTTGTGGGTTTTGACCACCACAGCCATGGGTTGATCAAAGGTCATGGCCATTGGCCATGGCCATCTCATTCCGAATGGCACCGATCTCAGGTCCTGGCGCTCCGGGACTTCCGGCAGCAGGTCCGTGCGGAGGCGCGCGGCGGCTGGCGCGCGGCTTCTTGCGCCGTCCGGCTTCGCCCCGGCGGTTCGGCGGTTTGGGGCGGTTGGGCGGCGGCGGGCGCGCGGAAGGAAAAGAAACTCGGAGAGGTGGCCCGGGAGGTGGCAGAGATGTGGCTCTCAGAAGTGGTTGGCGTAAAAGGTTCGGCTAAGTTTTTTTTCCTTTGGTCGGATTTGGTTGAAATGTTTGGTGCTTCTGAAAACGAAGAACATGTTGGATGCCACAAAGAGGCATGCAGTTTTTAGAGGTCTCACCTGAAATGATTTGCTCAGTCACAGCGATTTGTTGGCACCATTCGTCACGTCGTGTGAGTCATGGTAGTACCTGATGGTTTTCGTCCTAAAAGCAATGTCAGTGTTCGCCAGATGTTGGAAGAACAATTTTGCTGATAGTAGTGGAACACTACATGTCCAGTACAATGGAACACCAACCTGCCAAGACTGGGGTCGGGCCTCGACCCTGATCCTTTCATCTTAGTCCGAGGATGCTCGATTTTGCTTTGAACCTTTGGCCGCAAAGGTCGGGGGGCCGGTTGAACGGGGGCGAATTTGGCAGTAGGTAGGGACCTCATTCCTGGAAGTCCAGCCAGATTATCCATAACTTCCATTTGCTTAAGAATATGTTATTTTCCCCTGATGGTTTTAAAGGGAATCTACCACTACTGGAAATATGTTTGCATTTTTCCAGGGGTCTTAACCAAATGGAAGATAAGCCAGTCAGGGATTGATGAAGGTCTTGTGGGCTTGAGACCTCGGTTGAGCGTAGCGCGCAAATCTGATATCCAATCCTCCACTTGTGGAGAGCTAAGTAACTAAGTAGCAGGCCACCCCTGCAGCAAATGTGAGGTGGGGGGAGGGGTACCCAAGTGTACGAGATCTTGCTTTATACATGTTTGAGGTGTTTCTGACTTTGGCGGAGCTGGGCTTGCGTTTAGTAGCCTCCCTCCATAGCTCTCCCTAGCCTTCCGTTAAGCAGCACAGGTGTCCTTTTTGGAAGTTTTCGTAAAAATAAAAATGGCCCCAGTTGACCTTGCTTCATATTCTACCACAGCCATCAATTAAGCAGACCATGTTGCTCCTTTTCCTTTTCCCGTCAAGCTGATCACTGCGTTTTGCGTCGGGCGCCATGCGTTGCTTTTTTTCTTCCGATGATCTTGACGAAGGCGGCGGCCATCCTAGATGAACGAGCACGGTACACAAAACTACGACGGACCTGTCTCTCTGTGTCAAAATTGGGGGGGGGGGGGGGGTCATACGTATATATGATATGCATGCATGCGTACAGATGTGATAAAAGCAATGACCTCAGCATCTGCAATCTGAAAGAGTTTGAATGCATCCAAGAATACAAGAACAACTCAGATTTGTTTAAACACACAAATAGAAGTTCTGGGATTCAAGATTCAAGATTCAAGAATCTGATAAGACATGTTCTGGGAGTCTTGATTCCTTTTTTTTTTTTTTGTTTAAAGAAAACACTTTAAACACAAAATATGGATTCAAGATTCAAGAATCTGAGGAAATATTTTCTGGGAATCTTAAATGTTGAATCCCATATTTTTAACAACACTTTTAGAAAAACACCAGGGTTGTCCCAGTACTCTTGGTGTTCAATAAGATTCTCGGAAAGGGTTTCCGTGAAATATGTCAATCTCGAATCTTCAATCCAGCGGTAAACTACGTTCGAGGTGATAGAACAACTTGAACATTTTAGAGGTTGACCAGGATGGATTATTCTCAGGAAAGTGGTTCTTTGTGCACTCCTCAATATTGAATCCTGAATCCAGTGGTACAACACTTTCAAGTGTTAGAAGAGCTTGAATGTTATTTGGGGTTTGGCCAGGATTGACAATTCTCAGGATTTTTTTTGTGTAATATTCAATCTTGAATCTTCCATCCGGTGGTAGAATATTTTCAACTGCTTTGCGATCCAGTGGACACACTTTCAAGTTATTGGTTAGACAAACTTTCAAGTGCTTTTGCTGAGCTTCATGTCAGCTATGCTCATGTTGACCCCTTTCCAGGACATAAACAAAGGTGCAATGCTCAAAAGCACTGTATTTTTCCGTATTTTATCAGGAGGCGCAGGATCACTCGGGGTACTATATATGTGTGTATGTATGTGTACATGTAGATTGATTTTCTTGTAGAAAGTTAGGCTGAAGTGTGCGTGCTCCGCGCCTTTCCTCTCAAAAGGGTCCTTTTGAATCGGCGTGGTTCATGCCTCCCCCTCAGTGTGCCAAGTGTCGTGGCTGTGTGGCACTAGAGGGGGACTCGTGGTGCATTGGTTGCACCGCCTGGGAAAGCTTGGGCCGCGAGTTGAGTGGACACTGGGATTCCGCTGGAGCTCGGCAGCTGGCAAACGATTTGGCCGTTAGCTGCGTGAGGCAAGTCCGTGCGGTCAGGTCCTTGAGCTCTGGCCTGATTCGGACTGGGAGTGGCCGAGCTGGTGAAAGCCGTGCTGACCGTACACCTTCGGGAAAGTGCGGCCCAAGCCCCGGTGTGGATCGTCGAGAACCCCTCGAACGTCGTCCTCATCATCGAAGTCGAGAAGCAGGTGAGGTGAAGGAGGAAACAAGTGAATCCAGTCATTATTCGGAGGACGAGGAAGAGGAGGAAGAAGAAGAAGACCAGTCTGAGAACGACAAGGTTCTAAGAACAGCTACTCCAAAGACGAAAGCCCGATCTCCGAGGAGGATTTCCCGGAAGGATCACAGTCAAGGAGGAGAAGCTGGACCCCGGGCTGGCATTCGCCGTGCCTCGGTTGGGGGTGAGAAGAGAGAGGAAGGAAAGACCAAGAGGAGGAAGAGCAGCGGATACCGAAGAGCAGGGCGCAAACACCAGCGGTTGGCAAGGCTTGCAGAAAATCCAAACTTGCTAGTTCATCGCAAGGCATCACCAGCCTTGCTGAGTCTTGGTACCAGTTCCCTTGGACGAGGTGCCCTTGATCGTTTAGGGTGAGCAATGGCAGGGGTTGACTACATGCTTTCCGAGCCGGCAGAATGGTCTGCATTATCACCAGTCCCAGGCCAGATCCTAGAGGTCCCGATATCTCAATTGGGAGCTGGCGACCAGGCCGCAAACGCTGCCTTCGTGGTGCTCCTCACCAAGCATTGGTCGGACGGATCGGCGCTCTTGACAGTAAGGCATCTCGGAGCAGAAGAACCTCAAGCACATGCACTGCTGGACGAACGGTTCAATGGTGGTGGTTACACTATGCACCTCTGCCGGGCAGAGCCGTGCGTCTCTTTGGAGAGATCTGGCGAAGAGGTGGAAAAAGTAGTGCGCATCACCTCTCTCACGCTGTGGGATTTGGAGGCTTTCAAGGCACTCGACCAGTACACCGTGAAAAGAAGATATCGGTCCATCAACAAATGGATGGACGAGGCTCAGGACGCGGACGTCGAGGATGTTCCCGCATCTGGCAAAGATGTGAAGCAGGACGCGAAGGTCGGGAAGGATCCCGCATTTGGCAAAGGTGTGAAGCCTGCGGCCCCGAAAAAGGATCCAAAGCCTCCAGGAAAGAAGTCAAATGCCGCGGCTCCAAAGGGGAAAGGCCCGAAGAAGAAAGACTTAAAAGGCAAGGGTGGCAGAGCGCCTGGTGAAAAGAGGAAAGAAGATGGGGCAGAAGGTGGCCCCAAATTCTCCCCAGAAGAGCGAGCAGAGCTAAGGAAAAAGCTGGAAGGTATCCGGCAGAAGCTGAAAGGAGGGAAAGCCGTAGAAGTGGAAGAGATCGAGGATGGTTCGGAGGAAGGCTCGCGTGGGGACCAGGAGGATGGAAATTCAGAAGGAGACTACGAGTCTGCAGTGGGAGAGACGCTGAACACTGGGATCTATCTGAATCCGAAGCGTCAGAAAAGGAGAGGAGCCGAAAGGGCCCCACTTCGTCAAGGAGGGGAAAGGCAGGAAGGCCTGCCAGCGTTGGAGGATATAAAAGGGCATACTTCGAATACTTGGAGAGGCCAGCTTCTTCGTCAAGCAGTCGTCAACAACTACAGGACGGGGAAAGATGCCGAAGGACGAAGAGGAAAGACGAAGAAGGATGGCGTCGAAAAGTTAAGGATTGCCCTTACCGAGATACTAGTTGGGAAGAACGACAAGGACCCCAACAGAGGCGGAGGAGAGTCGCGGCCGAGGCAAGAAGAAGAGGAAGAGGAAGAAGAAGAAGAGAAGGAGGGTGTTGAAAGACGGAGTGATCGTTTCCTCCAGCAGCAGCTATTCCGATTCCGAGGCAGAGGATCCGATAGAAGAGAAGGAGGGCAGCGAAAGCGATCTAGAAGCTCCACTTCGGAAAAAGACGCGAGACCAACCAGGAGGAGTGCTAAACATGTTGGTTTCGCACGTCAGGGAGAAGCTGGACCAAGGTGCGCTGACGGAAGTCGGCGCGCGGAAGGGCGACATCGTGGGGGGAGTGAAGGTGATGACATACTTCAACCTCCACATCAGGACCGCTTTTCCAAATCATCTCCGCGAGTTGCGAGAGTTGCACCATCTGTCAGCGTGCATCGACCTATTGCGCAGCGGGGACATCGCCCGCGTGGGGGACGCCTTGTCGGCGCGACTCATGGCCATCCACCAGTCGATGGTGGACGCTTCTTGGAGGATGGCAAAGCACATGGAGATCTATCCGATGGAAGACAACTCCGCCGCAGGGGCTGCAACCATACTAGCAACCCGGAAGCACGCGAAGCTGATCGAAAAGGTGCAAGGAGGAAACACCCAAGGATGGGGCAACACAGGAATAGGTCGTGGAGGACGTTGGCGGAACGAGTGGCCAGCAGGAGAAGGAGGCAGCGAGAACAGGAACAAAGGGAAAGGAAAGGAAAGAACAAAAAGGGAAAAGGAAAAGGTTGGACCCAAGGAGGGAAAGGAGAGAAGACTTCGTGGGAAGCTGCGAAGGAGAAGGCCGAGGAGAAGCCGAGAATATGAGTGGAGGTCAGCTGGCGTTGGCCGTGCTGCAAAAACCTCCAGGTACA